TCGGTGGTGCACTGAGCGCATGACGAAAACAAATAGGCGTTCGGCGTACTTTCCTCTTCGAAACACCTAAAATAACAAAGTAATTAATCGTCAATTTTCTCCCTAGCTGCATTCTGCATAGGTAGAGGCAAGACAGTCAAGTGCGGACGCAGTATTCCGGGTAAGACTAAACAACTACCAAAAATTAGGGGATCCTCCGCTTCTCCTACCAAACTCTGAGGTAGAACCCAAGCTGATCTAATTCAAATAAGGAACTCATTTACCCGAAATTCGGGCGATATGCATTAGTTAGGCCAGTATTAGAGCCTATACAATGCAGCTGAATAACATTGAGGACTGCAAGAATATGAATATTCTTCTACAGCTTTAAGTAATCTGCAATTCAAAGCGATGCTACGTAGAGCCCAGCTGGTACGTCGCACACTTATGTGTAGAATTGCAGTGGCGGAATTTCGAGCATTGGGATAAGCATTTCTGACAAGACGGCAGTAACGATAGGCTGTTCCGACGCATAAACGCTACACTTTACCATACACTGGTGAAGACGAGCGGAACCATCTAAAGAACGTTGGTTTTGTATGCGCATCAACGGAAGTACTGGGTCGAATCTTTTCCAAATTTCATGGCAATACACATCCATTGCTTGACCGTTGTCTTACGTATCATCCAACATCTGTAAGCTACCAGTATTGTGGTCAGACAGGAAAATTTCTTTCTACATCTGTGTTGTGCACTGCTGATTAAATAACATCTATACAGATGAGTATGCAACGAAACTCTCACGACTTTCTCGAGGAGTTTGACTACCACACTCATCAGACGTATTGGCTTGCAACTAGCGGGCGGAATACTAAGGCCGTTTTCGAAAATGTGAGAAATGCCGGCGCTAGTTGCTTTGTACTTTAACGTACTGCTCACAAACGATGGCTGAAACACAATAGCGAGTGACCCACATAGATCCGCAGACAATCCATGACAGTGTTTGCTAAATTAAATCCGACCATGATGCCTTAGAACTGTACAGTATTTGTGGCAGCATACTAATTTACCTTCTAGCCACATTTGAATTAGCAAGCCATGAACACCGCGGAAATCTGTACAGGTAATTCAAGGCTAGAGTTTTCGCAGACTAGCTCTCCAACACACTACCCACCAAGTATATAGGCATTGTCCTATTCCGTATGCTCATGAGTACCGTCTGCTCTCAGCAACGCTAGAATTCAGAAGTATGTACAGAAGCTGATTATAACATAAGCAAAAAACTACTTGGATATTTGGAAGCGATGGCTTTTTGAATGTTAGCCGTACGTTCCATAGATATTGCTTGCACCTATTTCTTGACTCGCGGTACATGTCACAAATCCCGGTGGATGGAACGAATAAACAGATCCGATAGCATCTAAATCTCTTGGTGAGCAAGTGCCTGGCACCGGAATCGTGGCTTTTTTCTCCCACTGAGTGTAATATAGGAAGCATAGACTTCTGGGTGTTTGGACTTGGTTTTCCTGACCTTTTCTTTTACAGTGATCTCACAACGCAAACTAAAGCTACCGCTCACGGTATTAGATAGCTCGTGTGCCATATGTTGAAAATAATACATCGGTCCCATCTATTGTGCGGTTCCAGGCAGAAGTATTTCACAGTAAATTAGTTCCCAAAAGAGTAAAGCATGAGTTAGTTAATGTATGTCTGAATAGAATCAACAGTACCGTTGAATTTGAGCTGTGCTGCTGTGCTTAACTTCCGGAGACCTAATGTTCCCATACTGTTTCAAATTATTTTTACGTTTTCCATGACATCGCATAAAGGCCTGAGCACAATGTACATGTTGCGCTTAAACGAAAGATGAAAAGAGCTTCCTGAGTACATATAGCGTTATGGCATGGAAAGGACGACGGATAAACCACAACATCCGGAAATCTTTGGTAGCCTCCTTCTGCCAGTTGCTTGCAGAGTGTAAAATGGCTCAGTGAACAGGCCCTAGGGAATCTGAATGAGACTACTGTGCAATTTTACCCACATCGACCACCGAAACATAACAAAAATCATGCGCTCCGATCCGCAGCACTTGATCATTTGGTCGGTTTATATGTAGCAAACACAACAGATCATTCTTCTGTTTATCCAGAGCCCGATTAAAAGCTTCCGGAACTCTAGAGACAACGCCGAATTGCTAGAGATTTAAGTCATAAGCAAATAACAGTGATGGCACCTAAAGCTGCCCAGGAGAGTTATTTACCTACACTGCGAACAACATTGGTCCCCACGTAGAGCTCTGCAGAACATCGCTAAGAAAAGCTTTTGGAAACGAAGTACTGTTTCCCAAATTATTACAATGTTCCCTTCCATTCAGGAAAGCTGAGAGCTATTGAAGTGCACGACCAGATATCCCATTGGACCGCAGGTTTAGTGCAAGTCCATAATGGGGATACTGTCAAAGGACTTAGAGAAATCCATAAGCAGAACGTCCCCTACCGGTTGTTTCACGAGACACGACAATTCTTTACGAAATCCATGCTCCGTGACACTAAGCAGGTTAATATTACGTAAGTATTTTGCTACTGGATCTCTTATCAGTTATTCAACTAGTCAAACGGACTGGCCTATAATTAACCTTTTCGTCTTTGCTTTTTTGAATGTGAAAATCAGACTGACAACAGCCTCCTTCCATTCGGGAGGCAAGTAACAGCAATTGAGATTATTCCGTAGGACAAGAGTCAGAAGTTCCCTGAATACTGCTTCTGGTTCCTGCCGCAGGTTAGTTGCACAAAATATGGCCTATGAGTTTCAGTTACGTAAATATCCCTCAGCGAATGCAGTACTTGTATAACCGTCTCAATAATTCCTTCAAGCCAAGAGATCAGAGGGACTCTGGAAGCTGGTTTCCCGCATCGCATTTTAGTTCGCTGACGAAAGCGCATGAAAACTGCTGATCAAACACACACATATTTTCATAGTTGCTATAGGTCTGGATTCCATCCCATTGGCAGCAAAATTGGGATGGGCGAGGTTGCATTGAAACCTCGCTTAACATAGGCGAATACTTTTTTTGGATTGGCCGAGGCAGTGTCAGCTTAGGCACATCTATACTGAAGCCGGGTCAACGTGAGACGTCGTCTGTACTTATTTCGACGCACCCGAAACCTGTCAAATGTGCTGTTCAGCGGTGTTCCACCGTATATTCGTTTACATCTAGGTCACACTTTCAACAGGCTCTTCCCTTGCAAGCTATCCTCAAAGGCTGTGCACTCGACTCCCTGTTTTAAGCAGTGGGATGTGAGGAGCAAAAGTCGATGAGGTAAGCCTTACATGTTTCCCAATCTACCTGAAAACTATCCGTCTTAGACATAGCAAAAGCCATGAGAAAGCCATGTCCCACATCGCTTGAAATTTCGCGATCAAAGTGTTGAGAAGCCAAGGGCTAGTAGTTTGGTAAGGCCTGATATGGGCACGCTTAAATGACAGGCACGCATAGTCCCTGGAACCAAGAGGCGAGTCGTACGTTATGTCATTAACAAGTCAAGTGACTTCAAATAACAAGCTTCGCATTGGATAGGTACTTATTGCTCAAGTATCCAGTGGAGCAGTTCACGAACTTGTATAGTAGTACCTGCAGCATCAAACGTAACGGGTCTGCACCGAACGATCGCAGCACCGAGTTGCAAGATTGCTCTGCCCAACAATTTTCTAGGAGATGGAAGTCGCCAAGCACTAGACAATTGTTTGCAGACTGAGTGCGTGTAAGGTCAATGATCCCATTGGAAATGCTCCTAGGTATTCTATACACTAGCACGACTGCAAACTGTAAAAGGAAGCACGCAACAAAAGTGCGCGGGCCACGAAAGTTTTGTCAATATACTGCAAAATGCTGGTTCTTAATAGGTTCAAGAAAGGACTCAAATAAATAGCTACATGGCCCCCAAAGATATCCAAATCAGCCTTTTTTAGCTATACTGTTGTACTAAGGCTAGTACAATAGGGGTCAGGTTCCAATATCCTTCTCAAAATAAAACTATTACATCTGTTTATACTATAATCATTAAGAACGAACGCTAATAGAAACGCTGCAAAATGGAAGTTTTACCGCCTTTCAAATAGCACATCACGATCCTGGGTGGCGCAAATTGGAAATATTGATGTTTTGTTCAACCAGTAAATGTCAAACAGCTGCTTAACCATTTTTAGTAATTCTGGCTTTACAAACTCTGATTGTCTAATTAGTATAACACACACAAAAGGTTCGGTTTTTACAAAACGACACAAGGAATCTAAACAACATCACATCTGCAATTCCTATATGCCGTCCGACCTCGCCCATTTTCCTGTCTTTTTACACCACGAATTTGACTCGCCATTCTTTAACTTGTGTTCAAAATGGCTGTCGTTATTAAAGTGATTCGTGAATATAGATGCCGGTAAAACTCACCATTTAATCACTGAATAACTATTTCTCATAGAATTCAAAGTTGCTAATTTGTCTTTCCTCTGCCATAGAAGAGGAACCGTTTATGCCATAATGAATGAAATATTCAGCGGACGAAAAATGACTTGATTGTTCTATAAGTTAATTCTAGTGCACGTGAAAAGCAAAGCAATAAAATATTTTCTCCTCATTAATCCACTGTTAACTTTAAGTAAACGGTTGCTAACAATTCCCTAACTAACAGTAGCAATTTACCTGTACTTTCTGCGCTTACCTAGTGCGATGATAAAATTTTTATATCAGTGACAACGTTGTTCTCCGTACTTTTTAGGTCGAAACGTATTCGAAAAATTGCTGATGGTCTCCTTTGGAACAGGAAATATTCTTAACGTACCTTGTTGTGAATGACCAGTATAATCTGGTAATATCAAACAGTGTTCGAGCGAGAAGGATAGTTCAATTCATGACATTCGATTGCAATACTCACATTCCACTAATGGTCCAATAGTCAGTCAGTAATTCGCGACTGTCCATAACTATATAAATGCTGGTGTTTCGCGTCTGCAGATTGGGACCATAAGACATGCAACTACTGTTTACTTTGGTAATGCTGTTGACGTGATTGCATTTAATTGCTGACGTTAACTGCTTTCTCTTTGGTGAGTTGTTCCGGTCGACCTATGTAACGGCTAATAATAATAACGAGTTTTCTTGTCTTCAAATTTCAGCTCCTCTTCTTCCACCTAAATTATGTCATACCAACGGAGAATAGGCAGTCGCCTATATGCCTGGCATGTTGTTTGATGCACTTGCAGACTGCCGTACGCACATGCCCTGCTGACGTTAGTGCGGCCAATTATGTTGGATGTCGAAACCATGCAATGGAGACGTGGCTTACATGCGTGTCTTTGTGCCCGATGATTTCTAGAAGAGTTTAAATATACTTCTTGTTCAAAGAGGAAACCTTTGTTTTACAGCCATATAGTTCCTAGCAGATATTGCTATACATATTGGTAACCATTACCAGAAGACGACAGTGTCATAGTAGATGTATTCGTCGTCTGAGCTTCCAGTCGGCATACGGAGGTAATTCAAATACAATTAATATTTACGCACTTCTGTAAATTCTACGATTTGTCACAGTAGACTAGTCTGACTTGCACTAAATAAAGGTTCACTTAGCTACTGCAACCAATAGGAACAGGGGATGGGAATACGTAATACGATGTTAGAGCAATCAATTTCATGATACAACAATGTTTTATTTATTACAACAAAATATGCATTACCTTCTCTTGATTATTCTCCGCCAGTTTAGATGCACAGTTCAATGCGCTGAACAAATATCGTTGGAGGGGAAAAAATATTACATTATCACACGTTGCGTTGTAAAGTGTTTCTGAAGAGATCAGAGAAGTTAAAAATGCGAAATTTGGCCAACGGATATAATGCATTAACTACAGAGTTGAATTTTAACTGGCGGGCTTTTGAAAATATTGTAAGACTTAAGGCACAAATGGAAATATGCTGGCTGTACGAAAGAATTCAGAAGGAATTATTTGTCGTGTAAACTATACCAGAGTACTTGCTAGCGGTAGTTCATGTTAGGTTATGTGACTTGCAGTCTATCAGTGATGAGAATCTCCAGAAAATTCTTGATTGTCAGCGAAAGTATAAAAAATTCTTCTTCCTTGCATCTGGACGCGTCAATACTAGACTAACTGTATTAGAACCATTACAGTAGATCTCCTAATTTACCTAAAATTTTTGAAGGAGTTTGGACATGTAATCACCAGCAAACCTTACTTACATATTTAGACCAATAGGCCTGGGTGGTACGCAACGTCGATCGACATAGTAGAAGATTACAGAATGGGATAGGGCAGAACACTGCAGAACACCATATTGGGCACGGAGGTTAGAGTGTGTATATCGGCTAGGTGGATAGATTGAATATGATCATTAAAACACTAAGGCAACTGGTTGCATACACTGGGTGATAACCGCTTTCAGGAATCAGGCCAAAACACGCTTTGAATGTATTTGAATACTGAAGAACATAAAGCCATGTGGGGTATCATTTTTGTTACAATGGGGGCACTATATGGTGAGCAATGCTTACCGCCTCATAAATGGAGTACGTTAGGTTATTAGGCGGGCTAACAGGTGTAGTTTACAGGGTGGAATGAAAAAGCTTGTATCGTAAGCAATTTTACAAAGAAATAAGTTCACCCGAAGAGTTTAGCTCAAACTGGTGAAGGTCAATAGACACGTTCCAAAGCGTTGCAGTCACTCTGTTCGTTGTATAAATGTCAGATATAGCACACCGTGATGGTCATATGCGGGCGATTCGCCGAAAATTAGTTGAAGTGTTGTTCGCGCGAAAATGAGCGGTTAATTTACGGCCTTAATTGAAATCGGTTAAATATTTGCATAGTTTACTGGCACACATTCAATTAAGCGCTTTTCCTCAGGGACATAATGACATTGTTTTTACCCTGGTGACGCAGCTCAGATGTGTAGCAGTTTGGTTTGCAGTGCACTCGGTTTGACTTTGGATGTGGGACTATCGACGATTGAGCTATTCTGTCGTTCCTGGACTCACAACATATGATCACGCTTAACGACGGAGATCTTGCACGCTGTAGCTGATGAGATGACTGATCCGCTTTGAATACATGTAGTTGTTTCGTTTGTAGAGGCGCAGCATGGGGCGAGAGAGAAAGGCGGTCCGTCCCTTTTGGCAGATGACAAGGGGCGGCATTTTTATTACCAGCGAATATTCGATATCAAATACACCACACAAAGCACCGGATAAGCCGTGGGTTGAATAATTTAATGTTACTCTGTAAGACCAACAGCACATTTGCGTCTTGTGTCACTCCTATGCAAACGTTCTTCCCAGTGATCCTCTTATTTGTCTCATAGTGGTCACTTTCACCATATTCATCTCGGTGTCCCAAAGGCACAGTGGTATCCATAGAAAACTTTGTGCACTTTGCAGATCGTGTGTCCTTCACGCACTTATGCTGCCCTCAGTCAGAGTGATAATTTTACCCCCGCCTCAAACAGCAAAATTAGCTTTAATGCCATTGATCGCAAGGATTGTTGGATTGAAACACAAATGGATAGCTCTGCTCCTGAGACCCTTCGGGAGTAATATCAAGCCACGCCAAAGCTTTGTTAGAAGGCAAGACTTAATTTGGGTACACATCACAGGCATCAATGGATCTGTGTAGGGGACATTAATGATGATCACATTTTTGCGACCTGCATATACCTTGATGCATGTCTGCGGCCATACTTTTACTTTAATGGTATGCTATATTTACAGCGGATAGCGGTTAGGAAACGCCTTCATCTTGTATTGTGTCAGCCGCTTGAAAAAAAGATATGTTGCTTTCAACCTGATCAGCTCAGTCTGAACCTCCGATAGTTTACCAATCGGTTCGGAAACAATGTGGGCTGTTTCGACACTACATTGCTTCATACAGCTGGATAAATTCATCTAGTGGGCTACTACTGGCTTCTACACGAGGTGTTTGGATGACAAATTCTTAGTAGCATGGGTATTCTGAGAGACATAAGAGCAGAATTCCCTTCCGTTGATTTAAACTTGCCAAAGTAAGCGAAGGTAACTGACACCCACAACGTTTTCGGTCAGTAAACGATAGCGTCAACGATAGTAGGGAGTTTGAAAATCTTTCTGGAATTTCCGTTATAGATCTTTGGTTACAGCAAGCCTGATGTACATTTAAGGTTGCCACGGTAACGCGTGTGAGCGGACACTACGCCAAATGCAAAACGGACCATGCGTTAGTGGTAGTTTTCATGTACAGTACGCAATTCCAGGAGGTGGTTAATTAATTGACTTGTGACTTGCATAAGGCGGAGTGATTCAGACCCTACTCATGGACGATTGCCATGGGATTACATACGCAGCAATTACCTAAACACGCTGTACTCAATGAACGGGTTTTTGTAAACGTCGCAACTGTATAAGTTGTTTGAACCTACGTAGTACGTACTCCTTGCACTTCACAGACTTGATCCTCCTTTCTCACGGTCTCCTTCTCTTGGTAAAATATTTGGTCAAAAAAACTAAACTTTATGTCTAATACACTGCGTTAACTGCACAGCATCAGCATTAGCCCAAGGTAGTTGTGCGTGCATCTTCCATGTTTTTGCAGTATGGACAATGAACAAATCCATAGCGACCTGCTAGCGGACGACTCAAAATGCTTCGATTATGTGGGTGTAACATATATTCGCTGCTACCAGCGCCGTTGTCCCTACAGCCCTCTGAGATGCTTGGCACTACGCAGTGAGCGGATACTTTGCATTCCAATGAGCTACGTGGTGAACGCCCGAGGCAATCTATATTTCTCGCTGTAATCGGGTTTCTAAACTGATGTTTAACGTACGGGATTAAGCTGTTTCTACCCAACCACAAGTGTTGACCTAAAATATAGTAACACGACTTCTCTTCTTCCGCACACGTTAGTCTTGTTTGTAACATCGGTTGTGTGTAATTCCCCACCAGTCACCCTGTCAAATACTCTCAACAACGTGGTCTATCGACATTCGCTCCACCGTCATTGCCACGCTGATTACTACGATTTATCTGGATACAGTATACTCGCCTGGCAACGCCAAACGTGAAGCAGTATGCACGATCTCACAACGACATCACTTTTGTTTAACTGTCGCCGTTTATGCTTGAATGTTGGTTCAACGGTTTCTGGATGCATAGAAGTGACCACAGCAGTTCATTTCATACACAATTATATTAGTGAAATTTTAGTGAATTGCAATCATTTAAACGCAGTGCACGACCGTTTAAGCTCCTCACTGCGAATAAGCAGCGAGGCGCCGGTGGCTGCCTGAACGGTACGGTTCCTCTGGCAATACGCTTTTCAGATTCGTGTTTCATGGTGCGTTATCACAGATGTGGATGCAACTGCCTTTAAAAAGCAAACCCCTGGTATCCAGCATTCAACGCAACCACATCGCATATTTTTTAAGTGCTTCTCAGAATGCTCTACTCTAAAAGACCGTTTGCCGTTATTGCTCCAATAACATGAAGATTCTGCCTTCGACTGTCAGCGATTTCATACTGCACACAAGTATCACCCGGTAAACGCCCCTGTTGCGCGTAAAATATGGCTTGCACTTTGTTGCAGCAATTCACACAGTTTGTCATTCTTCAGCCTCCAATTGTAGCGGTGCCAGCACACGGATTTTGGCACCAACATTACAACCTACAGTCAGAATGTAACAACATCAGTTGTACACAATCTTCTTCAGCAACTGAAATCTGAAGAGAGCTGTGTGGTGCGGGGCACATTTGACGATGATGTTCACTAAGCGTGCGTATGCAGTCGACGCCAACCCACGTTCCTATCGTACAGAGGTACCCACCACAGCACTCGGACTAGTGATTCCTCGTTGGGCTGTCAATTTCATTCACTTTTCACTGAAATCAGACCCACATACACTCTGGGAATTTTCCTCATTACTTCCAATGTTTCAATCACTTATACCGTTAGTCTGGCGTCTTCCGCCAGATGACCGCGTTCCAGAATGGGAAGCGCAGTTCATAGACCTACCGTGGCTCGATTATGGTGAATGCCGGTCATTTACGGTTTTGTCTCCACCATTCAATGGCCATTTAAGGTGCAGGGAATTTTGCAAAATTCGTGCTGCCTGTGATACGCGCGTGCAGCAACATCAATTTCTCTCTCACCTTAGTGCTAAGCACATATGGAATTCTCGGCAGGCAAATGGTCTAGTGCAGGTATCAGCTGCGTGAAAGCGTAAGATCGATGTGTGGTATCGGATAGCGATCAGGCATGGTAACCGTAATCAAGCTTCGATATTCGCCGCCAGTCCTCCATGACCTTCTATGGGACCAGGTGGAGAGGCGACGCCCATGGGCTGTTGGATGGTGTGACCATTTCCAGCTGAAGCATGTGCTCGAATTCAGCTCGTGATGCAGGTTGTTTACT